ACTTCCCTTGATCTTGACTGTATCCCTCTGTTAATACAATTTAGGATTGCATTAGTTTTTTTGGCTGCTACTGCAGCCAAAAAGACTCCCAGATCCCTCTCACAGTTCCTGCTATTGAGCCTGGTTTCACCCAGTCTATATGTGTCCTTTGGGTTTTTCTTGCCTAAGTGTAGGACTTTACATTTCTCTACATTGAATTTCATTTTGTTAGATACGGCCCAGTGTTCTAGTCTGTGAAGATCCATCTGGATCTTGAGCTGATCTTCTTGGGTGTTAGTTATTCCTGCCAGCTTAGTATCATCTGCAAATTTGGTAAGTTCCCCTTCTATTCCCTCATCTAAGTCATTAATGAAGATACTGAAGAGTACTGGGCCTAAGACGGAACCTTGTGGCACCCCATTACTTACTTCCCTCCATGTAGACTTAGACCCATTAAGGACTACTCGTTGAGTGCGGTTTGTCAGCTAGTTGCGAATCCATCTGGTGGTGATGCTATCTATCCCACTTTTTTCTAGCTTACCAAAAAGTAGGTTGTGGTCTACTTTGTCAAATGCCTTGCTGAAATCTAAATATATTATGTCCGCAGTATTTCGCTGGTCTACTAATTTAAGCAGTTAAGGAAAAAGAAGAAACTGCATATTTCTTGATATGGGACTTATTTTACCAATGGTTAGTTAATAAAACCAGAAGTTAGAAATATGGAAATATAAAAAGGACAAATGTCATAAGGAGATTTGTTCAAGCGTATAAGTTAAATATTATTATTATAGTATTAATATTATTGATGAAAACTATTGTAAACATCTTGATTATAATTGCCTAAAAATAATTGTACCCAGACAGCACAGTGTTTGATTGAAATTGAATTCTTACATGTTATATAAAAAAAACAAATAAAACATTAAAAAAAAGGAAACCTCTTACAGCTTCATTATTCTATCAAATAAGGAATGGGAGGTGGGGAGTGGCCGGAATAAACACTTATGTATGATTTTTCATTCTATTGCTTTTAACTCTATTTATAGAGGTCGGGATGCACACCATTCTGAGTCATTCCCAACTGGAGGAGACCTTCTAACCCCAGGAGCGTGAAATAAATTTATATGTTCAGAAATTTCCAATTTTCCGAGTCAGCAACGAATTAGAGATAGCTCGCTAGTGCCTCCTTGTGTCCAAGAGTGGCTGTTTTTTAAAAAATTAGGGATGGATCTAATTCCGTTTTTTCAAACTTCTCCCAAAGGTGCTTGTTTTTCAAGAAGCAACTGGATGTCCTTGTTTTTCTCTGAAGACGTTTTGCTTTCTCCTCCAAGAAGCTTCTTCAGCTCTGACAGGATAGTGGGGAATGGAAAGATTCACATTCCTTGCAGGCAGCTGGTCATTTGCATTCCTTTTAGAGGGTCGTTGAGGCCACTTGGAGGGTTTATCTGTGTCCTCAGGGTCACCTGAGTGGTGCAAATGATTCCTCTAGCCTGCAATTTTTTCCCCTCTGGAAATCCATTCCTATTCCCACACCATTCAAAGGGTGTTCATCCCAAATTGTACAGCTCCTTCCATTCCCCGCTATCCTGTCAGAGCTGAAGAAGCTTCTTGGATGAGAAGCGAAACGTCTTCAAAGAAAAAAAAAACCAAGAAAGCCCAGTTGCCTCCTCATAAAAGCTCCTTGTGGCCACGTTTTCAGCATCTGCAACCAGACTGCATTTACCCGGCTGGCTGGGGAATTCTGGGAGTTGAAGTCCAGACATCTCAAGAGTTCCTACAGTAAATTCCCTATGATTGGCCTCTACTTGGACACACTTTCTGAAGACCTGATTCTGGAGATCCCAGGGTGATCCAGAGCCCATCAAGGGAGGTGGGGTTGATTGTTCTTGCCAGGGGACAATTGATTTATTGGGGTTTATATTGGGGTTTTTTATTTCTATCAGCTGCCTGGCCAAAAAGCTAATAGAATCCTTACTTGTTTAAACAGAGACATAGAATCAAAAATCACATGATGTATTAGTACTGCCTTGGTAAGGCCATGCCTAGAGTGCTGCATACAGTTTTGGTCCCCACGTTACAAAACAAGATGTTAAGACTTTGGAAAAAAAGTGCAGAGAAGAGCAACTAAGTTGATTAAGGGACTGAAGGCTAAAACATATAAAAAAATGGTTGCTGGAATTGAATATGTCTAGTTTGGTGAAAAGGACTAGGAGTGACGTGATAACAGTCTTCCAATATCTCAGGGGATGCCCCAAAGAAGAGGGAGTCCAACTTATTTTCCGAAGAAACAAAAGGCAGGTGAAGAAACAATGGATGGAAAGTTAAATTTTATTTACAAAGGGGATGCGCAATGGATGGAAAGTTAAATTTTATTTACAAAGGGGTTTTTAATGCATGTTTCAACCCAGAACGTGGGAATCCAGAACCGTGGGAACTTTCAGGGGATGCAGTGGCTCAGTGGCTAAGACGCTGAGTTTGTCGACCAGAAAGGTCGGCAATTCGACGGTTTGAATCCCTAATGCCGCGTAACGGAGTGTGCTCCCGTTCCTTGTCCCAGCTTCTGCCAACCTAGCCGTTTGAAAGCACGTAAAAAATGCAAGTAGAAAAATACTGGGAAGGGAACAACGTTCCATGCGCCTTTGGCGTTTAGTCATGTCGGCCACATGACCACGGAGACGTCTTCGGACAGCGCTGGCTCTTCGGCTTTGTAACGGAGATTAGCACCGTCCCCTAGAGCTGGAAACGACTAGAACGTATGTGCGAGGAGAACCGTTACCTTTTACAACCCAGAAGTGAACCTGGTTGAGGCCATCTTTACGGCTTCAGGGTTGCCCCAAGAGAGAAAAGGGGAGGGGGATAGTTAGCTGGGGTTTTGTAGTCAAAACAAAATGTTTTCTTGTGGGAACCAAGGACATTTCAACAGGTGGCTGGGAAGAGGCGAAGTAGAGTAACCGAGCAACCGGCCCGCACCTCTATTGGACAATGTGACTGATGACTGGGGGGGGGGGGGGGGGAGGGGAAACTTTCACTTTTTAGTTAGGTGAAACCCACGGGAACTTTCAGAGTTGGTTTTCACCAGCTGTGCCAATATGATGTATCCAATAAATTTGCTCTTTTGAGGAAGTTTCCTGCCTCGGACTTCTGCTTTCTATGGGTGCATTACTCGGAACGCTGACAGCATGTTCCAGTCGCCCAATCCTTCTCACTCGGTTTATATGTCTGATTAATTTTGGACCCCATCAAAAGCATCCACAGTGGCTGTTTGGGGAAGAATTAAAAGACCAAGGAGCTTAGAGTGGACTATAGAAGATCAGACATCCAGCCCTTGCTATTATCAATGGAGACCGAGTGGAGCAAGTGGCCAGTTTTAAGTTCCTGGGTGTTACCATAAAAGAGGACCTGATCTGGGGGTGCTCACATTGCAGCCCTGGTCAAAAGGGCCCAGCGGAGATTATACTACCTGAGACTTCTCAGAAAACAACAACTGAATGAAAAACTGCTGGTGACCTACCGCTGCACCATAGAGAGCCTTTTAACATCCTACACCAATTGTACAGGGGCAGATAGAAAAGCACTCCAGAGGGTGAACGTCATTGCCCAGAGGATCATGGGTTGCCCTCTCCCCTCTTTGGAAGAGTTTTATAGCTCCCACTGCCTTAAAAATATTCAAAACATTCTCAAAGATCCATCTCATCCTGGGAACCCTTGTTTCTGAACTATTACCATCTGGCAGACGGCACAGGATAATAAAAACAAGGACAAATAGGCTGAAAAACAGCTTCTATCCCAGGGCAGTAGCTCTATTGAATTCTACTGTATAGTGCAACATTAATGCAATATCAGGGGTTTTCAATTCTAGGTATAGAATGAGAAGGATGTGTGTTTCATTTTTATAGTTATCATATACACCGAAGATGGCATTTAATTTCGTTGTACGAGGGGCAATGACAATAAAGTAAACCAAAACCAGAAAATGATCCGGACCAAATTGATTTAGTGTCAGACGGGCGCAAACCCTAACCGAACTTGTATTTGATAGTAGCATGCTACTGTTTATGTATAGCTGTTGTGGGTGTACACAATCCGCCCCCTGCCCCCCAAAAAAACAACAACCAAGGATGCTATGCGAAAACATTCCAATATGTTTTAATACACAAAAAACAATTTTCCTGAACAGACAAAGAATTTTAATCGGGAAGGGGACTCCAGGAGGGAAGAGTTAAACCAGGAAAGTGCTTCCTTTTTTTAAAAAAATGAAATGTTTCAAACATACTAGATCAGAAACTATTGCTATGAGAAGAACAATTTAAATAGAGTTTGTTTAGGTGATATTTTTCTACTACTACAGCGAGGCGTCTGCCAGTATACCCCTTTCCTTCCACCAAAACGCTTCTCCTTTCATACTGTATTCTCTCTTTAGGTCTGTCTGCCCTTTTAGAAAATAATCTGTTGCTTAAACACTTTTTTTTCCCCCACGCACTCACTTATTCCTTCCTGTATTTCGGGATAATTCTTCTACAGATTTGAAAGCACGGTTATTTAAAATCCCAAAGAAGCAGCAAACAAACAAAAACTTAGAGAGAAAAGGGGGGAAGGGGGAAAACCTGTGAGAACGGTACCTTATTTCAATTTTTTAAAAAAAAAAGCATTTTGACGAGATGGTATGTCTCAACCAGTTTTCCTGTGGCAATCCTGTCTGTTTCTCCCTCCACTTTCTATGTGCCAACAGTACTTTTTAAATGACATATGTCACTTTCCCACCGGTCTGGTGGTTTTCTGAATTGGTCCTTGCCAAAGATAAATGTCTAGTTGAGGATTCCTACAGAATGCGGTGGAAAAGTGGAAGTAGAAAAATAGATGGCACTCTTTAAATAGCGAGGAGGAGGAGGAGGAGGAGGAGGAGGAGGAAGACATGAAAGGAGAAGGAGGAGGAAGAGGAGAAGAGGAGGA